GGTAAAGAGCTGTTTTCCAGTCTCATACAAGCTTGTTTTGTTTGATTTTTGCCTCACAAATGAACCAGTCTCGTTAATATTGCACATGTATTTCTCATCAGAATCTATGCATGCTTCTTTCCACAGGTACGAACCTCAGACTGATATTCCTCCTGATGTGGAGACAGAACAGGACCGGGTTTTCTTCATTAAAGCAGTGGCTCAGTTCATGGTAAGTCTGCCTGAGGAGTCACACTTAAGCACACTGCAATACTGGCTCTGTATTAGCTTAAATGCTTTCTCTCTCAACCCCTTACAATTTCCTTGCAATGGGTGGCTGAATATGTACTGTATTATTGTGCTGTATTGTATGTCTTGTGCTGTTATAAACTTGAACAGGCCAGAATCAGGATGCCTGATTCTTTTGTGTGCTTGAATAGTCGTAACTTCTGATGTTTTCATTATGATACAGAATCATACATCATTATTCTGTTGTATGAGCCTTCTCACTTACTAGATCAAGCCATATTTTTCTCAGATCAAGTCTTTTATTGTGTTATGCATGAGCATAAGTGAACTGGCCCATCAACTCTTTTAGTCTCGTGGAATAAAATAATATTGTCCTGTCCTTTTGATGCAGCATGAGCCTTCGCTGTTAAGACACACTTACATAGCACTCTTAATCAGCTGCAAAAAACTTAATGGGGCTGCAGGTGGGTCTGGAAGCAATGGGGGTCTCTATGCTAATGCCAAAGATTAATTTCTTGTAGTACTTTAAAACGCATATTAAAATGACATTCTAGACAAGCCAGCTTTTCCGTTCTGATTTGTGATGATGTGTACCATAAACTTTCTTAATTTTACTATGATGATATGCTTCTGTACATACCAGCATGCACTTTTGAGCCCTGGAGCATCATAAGGTGTAATCAACAGATTTATTTTGTTTGGAGGGATTTCCTCCCTCCAAATCAAGCATGTTTTAAAAGGACAGGTATAGAAGCAGAAATAACGTTATGCCTATGTTTTCCTTTTAATAGCTGATTTCATGTAAGAAATCCCAAGGGTTTTGAAGTATTACATAATATGATTCAGAAAATGAAATGAATGGAAATTTCTTTAATCATCCTGTACTTAGTCTCAGTTAATATTACAAAATAATATGGGGATTATTGTAGGTTTTCAGCATTTTTAGAATGAAAAAAGCTTGTAGACATTTCTTTAATAATTCACTGTTCATGGAATCCACAGTGATCTCCTCCAGTAGCTAATAGCTTTATGCATCCGTAGCCAGATGTGAGATTTGATGGAGACGGATTTGTCTCAGAAGAGACTATCAGAGTAGATTAATCATCATGAAAAATAACTAGAGTATTGCTGTCCTTTATAGAACAAGGAGTAAAGATGTGTTAATTTTTTTACACAAATTATCTGTTGCTCTGTGTTACTGGTAGTTTGAGAACTTGCCAAATGTCTCCTTTTCGGACCCAAAAGTTCCTGAAGTGTCTGCAGGGTTGCTTTATGTGTTGTGGGTTTTTTTTAATCATTTGTCCACCTAGAACTGTCCTAGTCTGTGTGGCTCAATACCTGGCTCCTACTCAAGCCCACTTGGATCCAAATTTGACGTGGAGTGCAGCAAAAAGCTGCTAATGACTTTAGTCTCATAGCAATGCATTCGTGAAAACATCCTTAGCAAAGCAAGGTACCAAACTTTTTGCAAAAGGCAGACATATTTGTTTTCTAAAAAGTGATGGGAGAAGAGATTGATGCAACGTCTGCTAATAATCTTCCTGAGTGCTTTCCAGGAAGTATTATGTGTTTAATTCCCACTTCAGCCTGTGGAGATTTAGGCCCACAGAGTACCCAGGAGAGTATCCTGAGTATTAAACAAGACAGGGAGATGAGAGCAATCCTCATTCTTCCTATCACAAATATGCCCTTGTACAGGAAAGAACGCAAAATGTTTGGGCTATGCAGACCATGACTCTGCAACCGAATGGCTGGAGCACTCAGCTGGGAGTTTTGGTTCTTCCCTGCGCTGTTTTTGCATTTTCATCACACTGTCAAAATTTGGCTCTGTGATAACAAAAAATCAGATTTTAAAGTAAAGCAAACTTTCTGGCTGTTGATGCCATTCTTGCAGTATATTTGTATTTCTCTTTTCTATTGCACGGTAATAATCTGATCTTCAGAATGGATGGAGGTGATTTTTTAATGATCCTTTAAATCTAGTTAGAGTTGTTATGAAATGGGTGGCTGCCTCAAGCTTTCCAAACATGAATTACATTCTTGAGTAAGCATAAAATATATGTACTTGTCTGTGTATTTTTTCCTGTTTTTAACTAGTCTTTCAGTGAAAAAACATTGGTTTTTTCCTTTTACTAGACATTGATTTTGTTTCTCTTGGGATTGAATGGAACTGAAATTGGAATTCCCGTCTTTAACAACATCCTATATGATGTGGTACATTAGTCTTTGTGTAGGGGGTGTTTAACAGATTCTGTCAATTTAATGACCTGCTTCTCTTAAAATTTAATACCTGCTATTTCTATGATTTGTTTGTTAGATTCCTTCTACTGAAAGGGGAGGAAGGCGAACTTATCTGGCTTTCTGCTTTGTGTATTGGCTCATTTGAAGTCACGCTGGTCAAAATTCTCAAAAGCGATTCAGGGTTTTTGTACCATAAGTTTGATATTCCCCCACCTGAGGGTGTACAGCATCAGAAACCCCTTCTGGACGTTTTGACTTCACTCTTCAGCTGAGTTCCTGCCTGCAGGAAGAAGATGTAGAGTCAGTTTCTGCTGCTGGGTAGAGATTTTGGGAAGAGGGAGGCACGAGGTAAACATTTCTTGGAAATGGAAATCTGATTGTGAAGTCACAAAGTTTGACAAGATGCATACAGAGAAAAGTGGTCAAGAACTATTGGCTTTGTTTCCTTTGTTCTTTGGAAAGTTGGGAGATAAATCCGTGTTTGAGTCCTTTCTGTCTTTAGTTTCACAGGAAGTTTTGCTGCAGTTAGTTGCAGTCAGTTATTGGGTGAAGCTCAGTGCAGAGTGGGCAAAACTTGTACTGACCATTTTACTGTTTGAGTCTTTTAGCCCAGGCTGAAGGTCTTGCACTGTCAGAGCCATGCAGGGTGTGAATTTCTTATGGTAACACCATAATACCAAAGTTGTGTAATTCATGAGTGAATTGTGGATAGATTCTTCCTGCCACATGGTATTCCCAAAGCATAACCATGTTAGCAGAAGTTTCGTCTTAAAAAGATACTGAAAAGAAGATCTTAAGTCATTTGGATGCTTCGGTTTTGTATTTGTAAGCAGTGATCAATTTTTGTTTGCTTGCTTGTTTAGTCATGCCACCAGGAAGACTGCCTCCAAGTTTTACCTGCAGTTTGGTGTTGGATCCTTGTGGCTATTCATTTAGGATCTATATCTTTTCAAGAACAACATTTGTGTCCTTTCTGTGACAGATGTATCATTTCTACTATCCTCTTCCCCACCCCCCTTATTATTTTGAAGTATAAAAAGATAATATTTTTTTTAATATTGGTCTGCCTGTACTGTCAGAGATGGAAGACAAGGGAATAAAATCACTAATATTGTAGCAGGGAAAAATTTGAGAGAAACAATAAAATATTCTGAAGGTACTGCTGGAAGAGAAGACAGTTAAATTAGGATAATTGATCTTATTCTTGTAACTCATTAAGGATGAAATTTACCTCTCTGCAGCATCATCACAAGACCTGGGCAGCACTTACATTCCACTTAAATTTAATCTGAATTTAAGTGGTGCACAGGGTTTTTGCTGATCATCATGCAGGGAAGAATTAATGAATAGTTTGAATTTTTTCATTCTGGCAATTATCTGCAAATGTTCTGACATGCAGAAAGTGCACATGTTGTAGAAAAATTTCTTCTAGAAACATTAGTAATACAGTGAGGCAAACTTGTGTTTTCAAACAGGAAGATTTATTTCTGTAAAGCAGAGCGTAGTGACCCCAAAAAGAGCTTTTGAGTGAAGTGTGAAGAGGTAAATGAGGATTTTGTTCTTCGTGACACGATGAATTCATTCTTTCTTCCCAAAGGCTACCAAAGCTCACATAAAGCTCGACACTAAGAAGCTTTACCAGGCAGATGGCTACGCGGTGAAGGAACTGCTAAAGATCACCTCTGTGCTTTATGGTGCTATGAATACCAAGGGAGTGGAACGCGCAGACCTGAGCGAGGAAGACAGCAGCAAGTTCAAGTTTGATCTTGGCTCAAAAGTAAGGAAAACATATACTTGGCAGGGGTTTTGTATTACTTTATGAAAAACAAATCCATTTTCTATCTGAAACTTAACGTAGATGTTTTCACAAGGGGGTGGGTATGGTTTTACCTCATGCTTTCTGTAGTTGAGGTTATATGCTATGATTTGTTTTAATCTCTGTGAATTCTCAACCAGAAGCATGATACAAAGCAATAGTGGCACAAACTTGATTATCTTTGGTGTGGACTGCTGTTGAAATCATAGAAATATTGGAGTAGGCTGGAATAAAGACTATTTTCTCTCTACTAATCTTGTTGCGACAGGAGGAGACTGCAAAATACTGACTGAAAGAGGTTTTTTTGAGCCCGTTTGCATTGAAGGAAAGGGAAATCTTCGTGTTACCCTAACAGACATCAAAGCTGTTCAAGCCCTTATAATGAATGCCATCTCTAGATATTAAAAAAAAACCCCAAACAATGCTTTGCTAAATAGGGGGAATTCTGGTTACTTCTTGTTAGTTTTAGCATCTCTTCTGTGTTGTAATCTGTAGTCTTTGGTTATGTGCATTTGGCACATATATATAGTATAACTACACTATACTATGTCATGCCTACTTGTAGCTAATAATATTACTGTTCTTGAAAAAATGGCAGAACCACAGGTGATTTTTCCTCTGTGTAAGTCTGGTGTGTCTCTCTGAAGAAAGCACCTGAAGAAATAATAAAAAAATACTTGCTGATGGTCAATATTTATTACCTGTGCAATATGCTAGTCACATTCCTTTTGATATATATACTTTTTACTTTTGAATGTGAAAAAATGATGTTTCCCTTTGCTCTGGGCAGCACATGAACCAACAACTGGCCAAGTCACAGTTTTGAGGAGGTTTTTTTTTTTTGTTGGCCTAAAGTGTCTGGGCTTTCACCCAGAAGCCGATGTCTGAATGGTGCCTCATCTAGACCAATTTAAAGCCAAGAGACAGGTTCGCTCTGATTCCAGTGGACAACTTCTTCAATACTGTAGTAGAGTTTTGGCCACTGTGCTGACCTCCTATGCAATTTTAACATCCAAATGGGAAAAACCTGTTGTGGATTCTCGTGGTGATATTGGGGATTCTCTTTTTGCTATTCAGTGCTGTTTCTGTGGTTCCAGATTGCTGACTTGAAGGCAGCTAGACAGCTTGCTTCCGAAATCACCTCCAAAGGAGCGAGTCTGTGTGACTTACTTGGCAAAGAAGTTGAATTGAGGGTAAGTACGTCCTGGAGAGTGTATAGAAACTTGTGTTCACTGGCTGCTGCCGAGGAGAAGGGTGAAAAAGGTATCAGTAGTTTGTCTTAATGACTGCATCTAAAATGAATATTCTCTGAGTTGAAGTAACGGGTCTGAAAGTTTGCCTTTCCTGCCTGCTCGTATTAATACTTGAATTGCAGTA